GTTTCGCTATAACTGGCCATGGACATGAAAACTCCATGTAAACTTTGTATCTTAGCTATGTAAAGTATATTTATATTGAAACTATTTTTCTGTTATCTGTTTATTACAGCACATTTTGTATTCTTTAGAGCAGGGCTCGAAATCTCCACTCGCCCCCTCGCAATTTGCGAGTGAAAATTGCGTGGGGGCGAGTGGAAATGAAGCCATTGAGTCAGGCTCTCAACTCCTGGAGAGACTCCTGGACCTCCTCGGGGCAGCTTCTCTCCTCCTCACCGCTCTCCTCCTCACCTACATGATGACAGCGCTCCCTCGTCCGTCCGTCCCTGGGGGGTTTGTGTAAAACAAAAACACACCCCCACACACATACACACACACACACACACACACACAGGCATATTATTAGACATGTGCGAAGACTAAAAATGTATTTAAGATGAAATGTGTATGTGTAATGCTCTGTGCGTTGTGCTGTGGCTGTATGTGTATTGTGCTGTGTGAGCGTTGTGCCCTGTGTGTGTTTGTTTGTGTTATGCAGGGCAACTGGTGGTGAGTAACTTTGAAGGCTTGGCTAGTAGGTCAGGACCTGAAATTTTGAGTCCTGCTTTAGAGTATATATTTCATCTTTGTCCCTACTCTAGCAAAGTCATTCAATCACTGTTTTGGACAAAAGCCACTTAACCTACCAGTGGAACCTACCTTGTTGAAAATTCCACTAAGTTGTCAGTGTATTAGTGCAGTGGTGTATCTAGCGTAGTTAACACTTGCGGTGGAACCTGGGCAAAATAATGGAATGCTAAATAAAATAACAGTCAAGGCTTTAGTAGTAGTGAACTGTGGCAAAACATAAGGATACTAGTGGTGTTCTTTAATAGTGACAGACTTTAAAGAGAGTAAATTATAGTAATATGTTCCTTTAACAGTGGTGACTTCACATTATGTAGGCTGTTACAATGAAAACAGCTGTTTGCTGAAAATAGTCAATTGTAACCATGTATAGGTCACAAATGCACAAACATGACAATATGTGGGCAACAAATGGGCAATTTTTAATATATGGGGCCAACAGATGGGCACTTGTATGGGGAAACAGACAATTGTAGCTGGATGTGGACAACAAAAAGGCAATTGTATCCTTATATGCTGGCAACAAATTGGTAATGGTGACAGTTTTTGTCCAGTTTATGGACAAAAATTCCCCCTCCCCCCAATTCTCACTCTGCCATCTGCATGATGCCATTGGAAACATGATTCATCGGACCACATTACTTTTTTTCCAATGATCGACTGTCCAATCCTTGTGTTCCTGTGCAAAGGTGTTTGAACAGGCCTTCGGCTTCCATATCCCATACGATGCAGTGTACAGCGAACAGTGCTTTCAGAGATCATTTGAGAGGATCCCTGATTAAGATCTGCAGTAATTTGATGCACTGTTGCCCTTCTGTTGTCTTGTACCAGTCTTGCCACTCTCCGTTCTGCCCTAACATTGACTAGTCGCTGACGGCCACAATTCGCACGTTCAGACCCAGATTTTTGGCTGACAGTCCAGTCTTTAAACACTTTAACAACAGCTGCTCTTGAACATTTAACGAATTCTGCTGTTTTGCTGATACTCGCTCCATGGCTCCGAGCGCCAACAATCATCCCACGTTCAAAGGCAGTTAAATCGCGTTGTTTACCCATATCTTCAGAAAAAAATCACTTCTACTGTCGTGGTAAACAACCTGCTTCCCTATTTTTAATGGTCTGGCCCTCTAGCAACTTCAGCGCAAAATTATAGCTAATTTGCCTACAAACGTCAGGTGGTCATAATAATCTGGCCACTCAGTGTATAATCCAGATGTCTAGACGTTCACACATATAGGCAGCACTGAGTGGCACCCTGCAGTATTTTCTCCAGGAATAGTAAGTATTTTAGCCCATCTGTTATTCTTTATTTATGTACACTGCTAGACTAAGCATAGCTTTATGTTTTTGAGTATAGTTCCACTTTAATTTTATTACCTGTACTAAAAATGTGACAGCTAGAATCCAATTCTCCTCTCTTTTCTGAAAGTTTGAGTAAATCAGCCACAGAGTTTGATATAGTTGCTATTTTCTCGTTATGTTGTCCGTCTGCAGAGATAATCATGACTTTGAATAACACAGTTACTGCTAAAAGTGGTTTTATAATCTACTCTTGCAGTTCCTCTCCTAAGTAAGGAAGTAATAGTTGAAAACGTTATATAGACATACTGCCAAGACAAAGAGGAATTACCTCACAGCTTTTTACAGTTGCAGAAACCAGAGGAGCGATACGTACTGCAAACTACCTAGTACTGTTTGTACACTTCTTTTTGTGATGAATTGCAATTCAGCTGCACAGTGCTGTGGACTTGGCGCTCCTGCAGACTTGTTTATACTTCCATCTTCATTTGCCCCAAGAATGCCAAAAAACAAAAGTTTGTGTTAATACTTTACTGATCCACAATATGTTATTTGGTCTTTTTTTGCTAATTATATTATAATATGCTTAATAGTAAGATTTATGTGAATAGAAAGCACAGATGAAATCGGTTACATTTGACAAACTATTACAAGACTTGGTGTTTTTGCGGCACTTTACATTTTTACGGAGTAAAATTATATTCTAATGTCTCTGAACAACACTTACCAAAAGCATGCTTTTCTACTTTTGCACATTTACAGTTGCATTATATTTTTAAGTGAAAAATAAACTGCGCTCCTGGATTAAACTAAATTAAATAGATAAATAAATAAACATAAAGCAGCTATGAAGTGAAAATTATATTTTTAGTAGTTTGTGTAAGCACTAAAAAAGTACATATCTAACATTTTATTGCAATAAGAATGAGTCCTTCAATTTGTCCAATTTTCAAAATTGCACCAGATAAGTATTCTTGTCCACTGCATTGCACAAAGGGGTCAAGGTGGATTTTTGGGAATAAATTCAATCTCAGAATGTTTTATATGCCTAATATCCTTTGATTTCAACTAGGGATGCACCGATACCGGTTTTTCGTTATGGAGTATGAGTACGGATATTTTTCGGTACTCACCAATACCGAATACCCATATCAGTGCCCCAATTATTAGGAAGTCAGGTGGCGTATCATGACCCCTGATTGAATGGGAAGCCAGTGTTTTATCGAAAGAACACCTGCTTTATTTGCCGTGGCTGCCTGGGTCCGGCTTTCTGATTAGTTAGGAAGCCAGGCTGCCCAGCAACAAGTTAGCCGGCTTCCTAGCCAATCAGAAAGCAAGGTGGCCCGTTATGACCCGCCTCCCGGGTTCCTGTTTGGCCCATCAGGAACCTGGGAGGTGATTCATGAAGTGGCACCTGGCTTCCTGATAGGTTAGGAAGCCAGGCTGTCTACTAACAAGTGAAGCTGGCTTCCTAGCTAATCAGGAAGCCGTGTGGCACATCATGACCCACCTCCCGGCTTCCTGATTGGCTTGGAAGCCGGCTTCACTTGTTCCTAGGCAGCCTGGCTTCCTGACCAATCAGGAGGCAGGTCATTACAGGAAGTTACGGTATCAGAGGTAAGTATCAGAGCATTTGGGCGAGTATGAGTACTCACCCAAGTAATCGGTATCGGTGCATCACAAACTTCAACTATAAGTATGCACTAGGTGCAGAATTCAAAACCCTTCCCCTTAAATCATGCTAATGATCATCTCCAATCGGATTGGTGACTTTTAAGGGGGAAAAAAAAGCTGCTGATAATCCGCTTCCCTTATCGCTTTCTCTCCCCCAAACTGTGATTGGACAATGAGACATAAGCAGTTTAACTGAAAATGTCATTCCAGTGCTCTCCTCTCCTGTAAGCAAGTTTACTGTTTGCCTGAAAAGCACTATACAAAGCAATGGAGTCTTGATTAGCTCAGGATTATGTCCCCTCTCATGCAAGAGGCTTTTATCAAGACAGGTTGTTTGTACTTTTCCTAATTGGATTAACCGGTGTTTTATTTTAATATTGGTGTTTTATTTTGATATTTGCTTTCAGTTCCTCTTTTAATCTGTGCTATATTAATATATAAACCAAAAAGAAGTACACTATACTCTGTAGAGTGCAATTTGTTCTTATAACTATTTTAATATTGATTTATTTTTGGATGATATTGTGGTTATGTTATAAAGACATCATGCTTTTGTTCTGTAAAAAATGGTATAAACAATATATCCACAGTGAAACTGCATACACCTGAGCATTGGCTGCATGTTGGCATTACAGTGCATGTGGTCATATTGCTCTTAATGCAAAGCATTTAGAGAAACAGACAAGCAGCAACAACTTTTCAGAAAACTGTTGTCATATAACTAATTTTATGAATTCATATACATGAAGCTAGTCACAACATAGCAATGACTGTCCATTAAACCTAAAAAAGTAAAACAAAACAAACTGGGGCCACAGCTTGACAAATTACACTATCTGTGTATGTTCTAGAATTGAAGAAACAATGACAGCCTTGGTGAATATCTTTGATTTGACATTATCGCATTAATATCACGTCCATTCATCAAAGCATTTTTAAGCATGATCTGTATGATAAAGGGCATCGGCTTAATTACAAGCTTGCTTAATTACAGCTGTGTGGAAACTCGTTTGTTTAGGAGGATGCTAATTACACTGCTGAGCCTTTGTCATGGGTTTTCCTCTCAGTATTCCATACAGTGGCACAACGCCCAGATGAAGCGGCTTCAGTTTTAATGACTGCAGGTGACACAGAGATGGCTTGTTATACTGGGCTGTACCCACACACCATGGTTTGACAGACACCAACATGAGAAAGATGTGGGACAGCTTAGTACAGGGGAGACCTCTTTGTGACTTGTAAATGTGTGTCTTGTCACATAGAGCAAAGTGCAACTACACATGATGAGCATTGTGTCTGACACCTTTAAATGGTTCAATGGCCAAAATATGTTTATTTAAGCAATATAAAGCAGTGTTGTAACAGACTTTAATGATTTCCCTCATGAGATTTTTTTGTTTCAGCAATGGATGGAGTTCCCTTCATGATTTCTGAGAAGTTTGCCTGTGCATCAGAAGCGGTGAGTAGTATTTGTAGGATTATGTTTTTGAAGGAAGTTGCACTTTCAGAGCAAAAAAGTTCATTTGGCCACCTTCCTTTTTGTGCAAATAAGTTATTAATGTCAGACCTCTGGTCAAATCCCCCTCCTATTGGACTTTGAAGTGTTATGTGTGAATGGTAGGCTCATTTGAAGTTTGGGTGTCTACAATGTTCTTCACTGCTGGGCTGATAAGTAAGAAAATACCAAAGGACCTCACAAGAGGCTGGGACTACAGCGAGCTGGTTAGGCAAAAGCAGGTAGTGTCTCACAGAAATATAGAGCCAGAAAGCATCAGTTTTTCTTTAGAACCACTGAAGGTGAAGATGGTGCTCCCAAGATGTTATCTACAAGTATGTACCAGATAGACCAGTAGTTAATGGCAAACAAAAGGAAAAGCACAGACAACCCTGTGTGAAACGTTATGTGATCAAAAGAAATTCCACAGGCAGGGAGGGGTCAGAGACAACCCAAGATTCAATGTTGGCCTTGCAAGAAGCACCAAATTAGTATACAGCCAGAAGGAACATCACTCAGCAGTACTTATGTACACTGAATCTAGTCCATTTGGCACCAATGCTAGTTGTTAAACCTACCGTACATGTGAATTCAAAGTTAGAGAGAACTATATCCTTGATCTTTTTGGCCCTTGGTACCATACTGACATTGAGCTAGGAAGTGTCCAGAACCACGAGGTGGGAAAAGGTACATCTTTGATGCGTATATTAGGGATGCACCGATACCGGTTTTTCAGTATCAAGTACAAGTACCTGAATTGTTTTTACGATACTCGCCAATACCGGAAGTCCCATTAAGGAAGCCAGGCGGCGTATAATGACTCCTGATTAGCCAGGAAGCTGGGCAGCTTGTAAAGACTCGCCACCCGGCTTCCCGATTAGCAGGAAAGCCGTCTCCATGCTTCTCGGCACTAGATGACGAGAAAGCATGGCGTCGGCTTTCTGGCCAATCAGGAAGCCGGGCGCCGTGTAATGATGCGGCGCCCGGCTTCCTGATTGGCTGGGAAGCCGGCTCCATGCTCCCTCCTCACAAGTGACAAGGGAGCATGGAGCCAGCTTCCCGGCCAATCAGGCAGCGTGTAATGACTCGCTACCTGGCTTCTTGATACCGGAAACTCAGGTATCGTGTTAGGCATCGGAGCATTTCTCGGCACCGATAACGATACGGTGCATCCCTAGTGTATATAATATATAATTGGAAGTCAAAGTGTTAAACAACAACTTTATGCAGTTATGTCAGAATATCCTGACATGAAGGAATCTCCCACTGGGCCAAGCTTCAGTATCTTGCTAGTCGGCCCCACTGGCTGTCAAAATACCTGAACAATCTGATTGGATGCAGGCATTGTTCAGGCGTTTTGAGAGCCAGCGGGGCCGACCAGCAGGATTACAGAAGCTTGGCCCAGGTGGAGATTACTCCATCCACACAGTTAAGTGTAGATGGAGGAATCTGTTGCACCTTTTCCATCTGACCACAGAAAATCTGCAGATAATTGTAAGGTGTATGGCCAGCTTTAGGGTAGTACTTGGGCTGAAATGTGTTTTTACATTGAACAACAAAGCTGGGCAGATTACAAGAATGCCATTATTTTACAATCTTTTGTCAGCATTACTTGCCAGGTCTGACTGGTTTTGCATTTTGGTAGTGGTTGTGGGGAAAATAGACTGGTGTACTTCTTAAGCTTCTGGGAAAGTGTGTGTGTGTGTGTGATTACAGTTTACATTGTTAAATTATTTCTGAACAATGGCTGTGGGTCACTGCAGTTTACTTCCAGGATGAGTTTGTAATTACCTTGTTTACTGGCAGTACATGTGACTGTTTCGTGTTTTATATGTGTACTACATGTATTGTCGAGAAATCGGGTCAATATTCACAGACAAAATTTGATTTCCGCTAAAAACAAATAAAGAAAGTTTGAGGTTATAGTGATACCCTTTATTGGCTAACTTAAAGTGGACCTTTAACCCCTTTGACTAAAAATCACATCAGCATACAGCTCTGGGTGCTGATATGAAATCATCTCACATTCATTAGCTAACAAACATATTTTTATTTTACTTACAATTTCCTTTTTTCCACTTCCTGGTCCACTTTGGCACAAATGATGTAATTGTGCCCAAGCATTGCATCCTGGGAAGGTTACATCAGCAGAGCATTGCTGGGAAATCTCATCTGTAATCTCATGAGATCTCAAGGAAAGGCATTGTCCTCTCCTGAGATGATGTGCATGGTCACATGTCCTAGTCACATGTGCTAGAGTTCCAGGAAATAAAGGGAGATCTAGTAATCTGCCCTTAGTTTAAATGGCTACTGTTAAAAGAATGGGGAAGAAAATAAAAATAATGTATGCAAAGAATAAAAAGCCGGCAATTATCTGTTTGTAGATTGTCATCACTAAATATTTCAACATTTTCAAGGTGTCTTTTTTGTTGTTTTGAAGATATGAGTAAAGTTCCTCTTTAAAGAAAAACTCTAGTAAATGTAAAAATTTACACTTTCAGTGGGGCTACCCCCTGCACTGCACTGCACTGCACTGCTTGTTTTGGTCTAGGGGCCTAAAATAAAGAAAATATACTAACCCTATTCTCAGTCTGATTGGCTGCTAGAATGGTCCCAGCATCCTCTTCTCCTCTGGGCATCAGCGGTCTAAGGACCCCTTACATCATCACATCTATTGCAGCTGCATTAGATGTGAGGGTGTCAAGGGACATTCCTTCACCTGAGAGGAGGGGGAGAGAGGTGAGCAATCACCGCTGCAGGACTGAGGATCAGGTGAGTATATTTTCTTTATTTTAGCCTCTTGGTCCAAAATGACCAATTAACCCTTGTACTGAGGGAGTTAATTTTTACATTTCCTGGAGTTCATCTTTAAGGTTTTAAAGATGCAAGTTTTTGGGATGCCTTAGATCCTTTTTTCAGGCTTTATTCATTTTCCGCTTCCACTATAAATTAAAAGAGCCTTTATGTGGAATTTGTAGTAACAAAGCAAGTATTACCTTCTATATACTTTAATAAGAGGCCATACTACAGGAATTGAAACCTAATTGTTTTTGTTTTTTTTAAAACAAAACCTTTTCCTGACTTAAATTTGGAAATTAGGTCTTTCATTATATTCTGTAATGTAGCAATGACACTGAATGCATTTACAGTGTACACTAATTGCTTATAGCTTGATGGGTGCACAGCAAAAAGAAGCACCATATTCTCCAATACGTGAGTAATGTTGGCTTACTAGTAGGAAGTGAAGATCCTTTATGGTGAATTACCAGTGTTTCCTCACATGTTTCAAAGAAAAGATCTTCACTTTGTACTGGAGTCTAACCTCATTTATTTGTGTAAGGGCCAAAAATGCTTTGTAATAACATCTCTATCCACAATCCCCATTTCCAGTTCTTTCTAATCTGAATATTCTGGTGCCAGGATTTTAGCCCTAAAAACTGCATGTTTTGTAAATTTGAGTTTTGTGAGGTTATAGCCAAAAATGTTTGGAAATTGATTATTTTTGTTCACAGGGTTTTTTTTATTTTACTTTAATTAATACAAAACTCTTTACTGTATGTACATCCAAATGGCAATGTAGTTTGGACAGTGGTTCAGACTGAGACACAAGATTTCCTTGTGCTGTGCAATGTAAATCTGCCCAACAGAAGGGTACATTTTTGATAAATTATGAAAGCAGACTGCAATGCATACATTATATCATATTGCAGACATTATGGAGTATTGTTTTGGAGGGATATATTTGTTTAAATATGGATAGTTTAGCGCAGGAATACATCGCCATCTGATCCAGAATTCATATTGGTTGCCATGATTGTTGGATTGCCTTGGCTTTTCTGCCATCAAGTGGTCAAATGAACAAACTGCAAGTCACTGTAGTTAAAGTGTGAAAATGTCAATCAAAGCTTGAAATATTTATTAATGAGTCTTGACAAAATATGTCACCAGAGTCATCTACATTTTTTTTCTTTTGGCGATGTAATAAAATCTAGTGCCTCTTTTTAACTGAAGATCTCTTTTCCACATTTTAGATGCAACAGGTTGACCTACTGGGAATTACAATTAAATCTCTGGCAGAAATAGAGAAAGAGGTAAGAAAAAGTAAATGAGAAGCTCTCTTGCACACTAGATATAATATCTGTCATCGATATGACTGCAGTGCCGCCAAATGCACCATGATTTTTAACCTGACTTAGTTTGTGGCTAGGTTCACACCTCGGCGACACCCAGGGCACGCGATCGTGTGCTAGTGCACACAGCGGATGCCGCACGGCCTCATTGATTTCAGTGGGGTGACATCCACATGGCAAACGCTAAAAAAAGGTACAAGTACCTTTTTTTGCGACACACGGCGCACAGCTTTTTTAGCCGTGATCGTGTTCAATTGCACAGGCAGAATTGCGGTGGGAAACCGCACAATCCGCCCGGCGCAACTGGGGTGCCATTAGAAAATAATGGCACCCACAGCGCGATCAGCTGTGGTGGGCCACTCTGTGACAGCGTGGTTTTGTGCACGATTGCCACGCGGTCACGAGTCGCCCAGGTGTGAACCTGGCCAAAGGGTCGGGAGTCAATTATTTGTAACTGCAACTGGACTGATAAAATAGTTTATCTCTCTCTCTCTGGAAAATCAAGTGTGGATGTAGTTGCAACTATGTAGTTGCTGAACGTGATGCACAAGCTGGTCACATCATTTGTGAAAATATGACTGTGTATGAGAATCATGAGACAACGCTTGGTGTAAGTTATAAAATATCACTGTTTTTGTATGTTATGCACCCCTAAGAAAAATAATCTACAGGATTTTTGCATAATCTTTGTGGGTCTCTAGGGAATGTTTTTGTAGGAATTTTAAAAAAAAGGTGGGGTGGCAACCACAAATGCCAAGCATGCATATGTAACAAAAGAAGCTTGCAGAAATTAAAAAAGGAAAATAAAAATTTGTATTTCAAATTTTGCATGGCTTTTGAGCAGGTGGTTGTGCAAAGAACACACACTTCACAACTCTTTTTAATTCTTCCCCGGCATCTGCTTATTTCATGTAACAGACCAAACTGTGCATCATCCCTACTCCTCTGCATTTCATTTTATTTATCTATACTCCATCTTTTTTAGCAAGCTTCTGTTCCCTAATGATAGGAGATTCATCTTGATTATAATTGCCTTTTGCCATACATATCTAATTTTTGTCTTTTTAAGAGCTAATTAGCATGTACTTGACATCTTTTTTGTGCTGAGCAAGGAGCAACCCTAAGCAAGCTATGGGAGGGTCCTCTTTGAAAGTCTCACTTTCAATATCAGTATATCTACCCCTTCCTAGAGGATTACATAGTTACATAGTATTTGAGGTTGAACAAAGACATTTTGCTTTGTCTCTAGAGTATATTCCCTTTTTAATGCATGACAGTACTTTGCTAGCTTTGTTTGCCGCAGCCTGGCATTGCAAGCTATTAATCTGTAGTCAACTGTGCCCCCCAAATCTTTTTCCATTTCTAATTTCCCTGGTATAGTACCCAGGGCCGGATTTCCGAGGCCGGATCGTCGGGCAGCACAGCCAAGTTTTTTGTTTTGTTTGTTTTTTACATTTATCCCTGCTTCGGGCAAGCAGGGCTAAATGTACAGCTGGGAAGCTGGTGTTTTAGTACAAGTGATCCCAGCAATTTTGCCGAGATCACTTGTAATATGCGTGCAGCTCCGTCCTTCCCGCTCCCACCTCTATGGTCCAGGTCCGCCCCTACCTCACTTGGCTGCTTCGCCCCACTGGCCTCTTCCCTTCCTGACATGGTTTTCAGGCGGGGGGAAGAGGGGGGGGGGCAATAAAGAGAACCTGTCACTTCCAATTGCTATCACACAGGGTCATGTTAGTTCCTATATGATAGCAATAAAGTTAAGTGAATACAAAAAAATGGATAAAAAATAATAAAAATAAATAAAAAGTAAAAAATTTAAAAATAAAAAAGTAGCAAAAATATTTAAGAAAAAATAAAAAAGTTAAAACCAACCCTGCCACCCCCGCCATCTGGTTGCCATTCTTCATTAGGGGGAGGGTTTGGCGGGCAGGGGGGCGCATTGAGGAAGCGAGCCTTGGGGCAGCAGAGAGAGTAAATCCGGCCCTGGGAGTACCCATTAATGTTTATTGCGCTTGCCTATTTTTAACCCCAAGATGCATTACTTTACATTTCGCAATATTAACCCCTTCATGACTGAGGCCTTTTTTTCATTTTTTGCACCCATGTTATATTCCACATTTTAGGCCTGAAAATGCATTTTTATGTTGCGCAATATTAGCGCAACTCCTTATTAAACCTTTAGTTTAAAAATTTAGTGAAAATTTAATTAAATGCCCCAACATTTAGTGAAAAATTTAATTAAATGCCCCAAAACACAACAAAATACCAATTTTTTTGGAATATTAATTAATATTAATGGAATATAAAAGATGAGGTTACAACGAGTAAAACGATACCCAACATGCCTAGGTTACAAATTGATTGGGTCCGTAAAACGGCGAAAAACTGCAGTAAACCAAAAAGTCCGTAGAAGACGCTTTAAAAGCCCCCACAGGTCATCAATTTAGAGATACCCCAAAATACTGGCCCTATGAATTATTGCTCTCACTCCGGCGTGCGCGGCGATACCCAACATGTGTAGCGCGTTCGTCGTTTTCATACGTAGGCGCACCCGACGCGCGTTTACGTGGCGATGCGCATGTTCATGGGGGTGGGGGACTTTAAAAAAAAATTATTTTTATCAATACTCTCTGGACACATTCCTGTAGCCAGTTCTCTATCCATGTACACACCATTTTATCTATGCCCATAGATTTCAGCTTGTGTATTAAGCATTGTGTCAAATGCTTTGGCAAAATCCAGGTACACCACGTCCACCGGCTATCCACCGGCCTTCCCCCATCCAGATCTTTAATCACCTCTTTGTAGAATGTTAGTAGCTCGGTCTGACAATAACGGTTCTTCCTAAAACCATGCCGATTATCACTTATTTTGTCATGAACAAAATCCACTAAATAGTCCTTTGTCATTCCCTCAAGCAGTTTGCATACTATTGATGTTAGACTGACTGTTGTGTAGTTCCCAGGTTGACATCTTGAACCTTTTTTAAATATTCATACTACCGTAGCTTTACGCCATTTACTTCGTACCCTTCCAGTCAGTAATTAAATTTTAGAAAAAAAAGAATTGTTTCTCGTATAAATTATTTATTGATAAGAAAGTATTAAACACATCCATACAACACATGGTGTCAGCACATCTGACCACGGGGGTGGGGGACTTTAAAAAAAAATTTAATGTATTTTTAGAAAAAAAAGAATTGTTTCTCGTATAAATTATTTATTGATAAGAAAGTATTAAACACATCGATACAACACATGGTGTCAGCACATCTGACCAAATATCAATACAGTCACATATAAGGGGATTAGAAAAGCGGGTATCCCCGAAAAAGAATCGTTTCATACGAACCATAGCGCACTTTAATTGTACTTCAACTACATTGATTAATTAAAATTCCAATATTTTATTAAATCGATAACATTTACATTAAACATAATTTTTTTCTAAAAACAATAACATACAAAGTAGTTTGCGATGCTCCCGCCTGCCTATTGTCAGTCTATTTTATATCCATACAGTTGTATACATTTCATTTTTACAATCAAAAACCACTAAATGGCCTACTAGTGAGAACGGCAAACACCTCACTGCGATTTGCAATGTTGAGTTACTGGCTTCCTCAGGAGGTTCTTGAACATATTAAAATAACAAACAGAGCTTGTCCTAGTATGCGTATGGTAATATCTCATATACTAAATCACTGGTGGTAATTATCACTCCTCCGTTGGACATGGGAAAGGAAAGAGGGCAGCTCAGACCAACTTCATACAATAAATTTCCATATAGACATGTATTCCTGTTCATCATATTCATCACAATCAGCGTCACTTTTAAATCTCCCCAGTGATTCCACACTTCACTTGTGTGCATAGTCAAACTCCTGGCACTCTCGTGGGCGCTTAGGATCATCCAGACTTACTGTCCTAAGGACTGGTATTCCATCCTGCTTCTCAGTTGATGTCTTTATTGGCCTGCTTGTTGATGCCCAGGTCCCGCAAGATGTGCCATCATATCTGGAATGTTATTTTGGCTGCTGTGAATAGAGGAAGTATTCTGTGGGATGCATCTTATCTTTCCTCAAAATCTGGCCTAGACCAGCATTTAGGTTTGAGTGCTATCAAGGGCCAAATTTCTGTCTTGGCAATTCTTATCCTGAGGCCACTTGCCTCCCACTCTCACATTCGTTTACTCTGTGGGACCTCAACTTCAGTTTTGTTAGCCATGCAAAAGTTGCACTTTGAACCTCTTGGAGAGATCCCTTGGGCCCTACTCATTTGCAAGGTTGCCTTCTTCATCGCCATCACTTCTGCCGGGAGTGTTTTTGAGTTGGCGGCCTGGACTTGTAAGGAGCCTTTTTTAGTTATCCACAAGGATACAGTAGTACTTTCTTTCTTCCTAAGGTGGTCTCTGCCATCCACCTTACACTGGACATTGATTTATGTTTTGCACCAAACATCCTAAAGAAGTTTCTCTCCACTGTTTGGACCTGGTTCGAGCTGTTCGAGTTTAACTCTCTGCTACAGCTTCCATCTGCAAGTCTGACTCCCTCTACATCATTCCTGAGGGTTCCAGTATGGGGCAGCCAGCTTCTTGTTCCACAGCGGATTGCGCAAACTATCACTAAGGCCAAAGAGTTAAAGGGTAAAGTTCTCCCTTTCCAACACTCACTTTTCTTGGAGTTTTGATACTTCTTGGATCTTCCAGCATCAAGCTTCAGTATCCCAAATCTACAAACCTGCCACCTGGCCCTATGTTTACACTTTTGCCAAGTTTTACTAGTAGCACATTCTATAGTAATAGTTTCAAAATATTTTAATAACATTTTAACAATACAAACCCGTAAACATCCATGTTCGGCATATAGATCTAATAGGCAAAAATGTGATAATAAAACAAGAATCAGTGCTGAATTACAGCCAAGCTGAATCATGCTTCGTTCACAGGGAGAAGGTAGCTCT